AAAGGAAGGAAGGAAGGAAGGAAGGGAGGGAGGGAGGGAGGGAGGGAGGAAGGAAGGAAGGAAGGAAGGAAGGAAGGAAGGAAGGAGGGAAGGAGGGGGGGATGGAGGGAGGGAGGACTTTTTAAATAGCATTCATGATTACTTCCACATAAAAGTTACCCAAGCACACTCCATATACTCATAGATATACTAAAAATAACACTAAAAGGATATGCACTAAAATACCTATAGTGTTCATGTCTGAACAGTAACATAAAGGCTGATCTCTATGGTTGCTCACACATTTGTAATGAATTAAAATTTTGTTAACAAGATTAGGTCTTAAGGCCAGGAACTGGTGGCATATGCCTATAATCCTTGCTACTCAAGAGACTAATACCTGGAAGAAGGCAGTTCGAAGCCAGCCCAGAGAGAAAAGTCTGTGAGACTCCATTCTAATTAACCAGCAAAAAGCTCAACTATAGACATGGTTCAAATAGTAGAGTGCCAGCCATGAACAACAAAGTCAAGCAAACATAAGGCCCCTGAGCTTAAGCCCTGAACCACCCAAAATTTTTTTTAAAAAGCTCAGTAAACTAGAGCGTTTGTCTAGCATGCTCAACACCCTGTGTTTATACATAAAATACACAAATACCAAAAATAGTGTCAAAAAAGAGTACTAGCATCCACATAGTACAGTTCATCATTATATAGATTTTATCATCTATATAGATTACACCATATAATTAAATTTATATATATATATAGAATATAGATTAGATATAATTTATAAAATATATATTACATATATGTATGTATTTATATGAATACATATAGAGAAAAGATTCCATATAGAATCTATAATAGTTATATATTACACATATATAATATTCATGTATAATGTATTACATCTGTTGTACATTAATATTTTACATATATTATACATTAATACATAATTACAATATACAGTAATGCATAATATAAGTAACAAACATCTATATAGACTATATACTCTACATAATGATGATCTGTATTATATAGTATTATATCAGTTAAACCTAATAAATGCTTCAAGTCACAGAAAAATGTCCTGGAAACAAAGCAACATTAAGCTCCTGGAGCTAGGATCCCAATTTTAAAAATTCCATCAGGCACTGGGTACTGTTGGCTCACACCTATATCCTAGCTACAGAGGAAGTGAACCTGCAGTTTGCAATCCACCCAACAGTCTGGTTTGTGGCAGTGTGGATATCTGAACTCAGGGCTTCACACTTGCGAGGCTAGGCAGGCATTCTACTGCCTGAACCACGGCTCTGGTTCTTTTAGCTCTGATTATTTTTTAGACAGTTTCATATTCTTCCTAAGTTGGTCTAGACAATCACTTATTTATGCTTCCAGTTTCTGGGATGACAGTCACAAACCAACATGCCCAGCTTTTTCTGTTCAGATAGGGCATGGTGAAATTTTTGTTTGCTTTTAGCTAGGGCTGGCCTGGCATCATGATCTTCCAGTTTCAGCCTCTCATATAACTGATATCATAGACATGTCCCATCATTCCAAGCTATTGATGGTAACTGGATTTTGCAAACTTTTTGCCCCAGCTGGCCTTGAAATGAAATTTCCATCTCTCAAGTAACTAGATTTACAGGCAAGAACTATGGCATTCAGCAGATTAAGGTATTTAAACAGATTTAATGATAGATACACAAAGAACTCCAATAAAAGAAACTAGTGCAGCAGAAAAATTGTAAAAGTTTACCAAACTGGAATAAAGTTTACCAAACTGGAATAAGGGAAAAATACAAATTGGTAAATAAATATAGAGAGCTAGAAAATGACTATTTCTAAGATGTTTTAAACTGCCTTATTGTTCATCTTCTAAGGACTGAGGTGATCTGTTCTCAATCTTCTTCTTTTATATGAATTCTGAAAGGTCTGCTCCAGTCGTGCTGATGAGGGACCTCGGGAGTTTCCACATAACCTACAAGCTGCTCTCAAGCTCTTTGACCCTGGGTGCTCTGTTGGAAGGCAGCAGAGTCCCTCCCTCCATGGTGAACACTGCATAGACAGGAACATTTTCCATGGCATAGGCTCAGGATGGAGCCTTTCAGAACACTTTTCATGTGGTACACATCTATGAGGCTTTTATCTCCAGTTAACCCATAAAAGTCAGTGGGGCTCAGTGGCTGAATGCCAGCCTTGAGCCAAAAAACTAAGGGACAGCACCTCAGAGCTCAAGCCTCAGTACTGGCACACGAGTGCATGAACACATACATATATATACACACAAACACACACACAAAATTCCATCAGTATTGATCTAATGAAACATTCTTTTAGTTCCCATACAGATGGTAATATATTTAGAACCATGTATTATTTCAGTATTTCTCAAGAGATTATGTGATAATCATATAAAGCAATCCTCCTTAACGAAAAAAAAAACTTGTTCAAGAAAACAATTCAGCTATTTAAAATCAGTATTTGTCAGCTTAAAGGAATGCCAATAATAATCAAACAATAACAATTTTTACTTTTAGCTTTTTATTTGCTGCCAGTCCTGGGCTTTGAACTTAGGGACTGGGCTCTGTCCCTGAGCCTCTCTGTGCTCAAGGCTAGCACTCTACTACTTGAGCCACAATGACACTTACAGCCTTTTCTGAGTAGTTTACTGGAGATAAGAGTTTCATGGACTTTCCTGCCCAGGCTGACTTCAATCTGTGATCCTCAGATCTCAGCCTCCTAAGTAGCCAGGATTACAGGCATAACCCACCAGCACCCAGGTAATTTTAGCATGTTTTAACAAAAGATTTTTGTATCTTAAATATTAACTTAGATAGGTATGGCTCACAGATTTCAAACTTATGACCAAAATGTATTTTTAAACAAAGGAAATACCACAAATTTATTCCAAGAAAAACTGATGGACTTTTGCCATCACAGTACTTCTTGGGCTCCTTCTACAACAACTAAAATATAACAGAAACACAAACCAAGTCATTATAGTAAAACAAATATAGACAAATAAAGGAAAATGGTCTAGTCCCATGTAAACTAATTTTAATAGTAATTACTTTGGCTTCCATTGCTTCTCCTTTTGTTGGCTCAGATAATTATACATACTATACATACTTACACAGAAACCTATAATTTCCAAACTTTGTTAAATGGTCTAAAGGCTCATTAAAACTCTAATGATTCAGAAGCAGTATGGTAGAATGAAGAGAGAGGGCTGAACACATCTGAAGTATCTTATACTTTAATAGTTTATTAACTAAAATTTACTTCTGTCTCTAAGTTCATTTAAAAATCAGAAATGGATCAGAGGTATGTGACAATGGATCAGAGATATTAGTACAACACAATGACTGAGATAAGCTATGTCTAGGATAATGATATCCATAATCTTTCGCTACTTAGAACTCAGGCTGTCAGAGAGACCCTAACAGATTACCTCTAGCTTGGTTATCCAAAAGCCTCTTCTAGTTATTAAATTGTATAATTGGAATATCAGTGCAATATGTATGGGTCAATCATTGGTTAAAGGTTAGACCTGGTATAGATTGTGTTTTCGCAGCTTGAGCACTACTGACATTTGTTGTTGGAAGCTGGCCTATACACTGTAATCTGACCTTCACTTAGTAAATGCTCATAGTATAGCTAACCTTTTATCTGTAACAATCAAAAATTTCTTCTAGACATTGACATTTGTCTCCTAAGGGCCAAAAACTCCTTAAGACTGTTAGGCAGCATGCACTATCAAATCTAATTTTAAAATATAAAAAAGTATAACAGAATTATGAGAATGTCTTCAAATTACTTAAAAACCTAATACTACAGAAATATCACTCCATCGACGTATTTTATACTCACCAACTCTACTATAAAGCAATTGTATGCTTGTAAGCTGAACATCAAAAGAATCGTAAGCTCTCAGCATTAACTCTTCAAGTTTGGCTCCACTTGGTTTCACATCTGATAACTCTGAACGATTTTTACTTGTCACCTTCAAGTTAATTTTAACAGTTTAGACTATGCAAAGCACATCAAAATTTTAAGCATGAAGTTATTATCTTTCAACTCTCAATTATAAAATATAATACCAATAGAGAAATTAATGAGAAGACATATAAGGCTATTAAGCAGTTGGTATCCATGAGATACATGTTGAAAAGGATATGTATAAAGGGAATTTTTACATAGTGAGTTGCACTTCTCATTCAGTTATACCAAAAGGATGAAATGAAGGCAGTCTTAGAATATAACCTGCCTTTACAGAGACTTAAAATTTAGAGTCTTAAGATCTAGTTAAAAGCTTTCTCATTTCACCCAAGACCAAGGGACAAATTTAGCTTACTACAGTAACATATATACATAAACTTTCTAGGATACAATGGCAAATATCCATTAAATAAGTAAATAAGAGTAAATAAGTAAAATAAGTAAGAAGAGTCAGAATTTAGTATTAGGATGGCTGAATTTTTATTCAATTCTGCCATGCATGTGGCTTCCTCATGTTATATTTCTATCTTTCCTTCCTTTTTGGCATACTATCTTTTTAACTTAAACATCCAGAGATTATTGCACAGTATGTTAATGATCACATGTTTATAGCTCTTATAAGTAACTGTCAAAACTGATTGTGTCTTAAGTAAACTTTAGATAACAATAAAGCAAATTATTTATGTCAAAAAAATTAGATATCCTCACTCCTTACAGTATGCTTCACCACTAAAACAATTCAGAAACCACACCCAAATGTAATTAAGTAGCTATATAAATTTTATTATAACTATAAACCTATTGGTCTAAGTACTAAGTACAGAATAACAATGAATAAATATAGACAGATTATTTAGAAATAGATAGCTATAGAGATGGGAAGGTATGAATCAAGAGAGGGAGGGAAAGAAGGGAGGAAAGATAGTATCAAAACACGTACATATTGGTTAGCCAGAAAAATTCTTATTTATCTAGTTTGTTCTTTAACTATAGGTAATTGTCTACATTTAAGAATACAGAGAAATAAAATCCAATGAATTTTATTTTAAGGTCCGGTCGTGGGGCCTGAACTCTGGACCTGGGCACTGTCCCTCAGCATTTCAGCTCAAGGCTAGCACTCTACCACTTGAGCCACAGCGCCACTTCCGGCTTTTTTCTTTTGCTTATGTGGTGCTGAGGAAAGGAACCCAGGGCCTCAAGCATGCAAGTCAAGCGCTCTACCACTGAGCCACCTTCCCAGCCCCCAATTAATTTTATAATGATGACAATGTTCTGAACCTATGCCGTCCAACACAATTGCCACTTTGAAAGAAAATTGAAATGATGTAAATTTAAGACTACCTTCAATTTAATATTAACAGAACTATTAAAAAGTCAATATTCATTTATATACACAAAAATTTTCAGGCATATTAAAACTGAAAAGGAAATAAAGTTTTTTTTGTTGTTGTTGTTGTTTTTTTGTCGGTCGTGGGGCTTGAACTCTGGGCCTGGGCGCTGTCCCTCAGCTCTTCAGCTCAAGGCGAGCGCTCTACCATTTGAGCTACAGCGCCACTTCTGGTTTTCTGGTGGTTTATTGGAGATAGGAGTCTCACGGTCTTTCCTGCCCGGGCTGGCTTTGAACC